CCTCGACCACCTCTATTATTCGATTGGCCAGTGCCTTGGATAGCATCTTGTAGACCACTGTCAGGAGAGTAATCGGGTGATAATTACGTATATTCATCCGGTCCCCTTTTTTGTGGAGCAAGGAAAGCACCCCTTGTCCCACCATTTCGCCCATCTCTCCGGTATTCCAGACTTCCTCGTAGAAGTGCATGAGGTCGTCGGAGAGGTGCGGCCACATGGTTTCCCAAAATTCTTTTGAGAAACCATCTACCCCCGGTGTCTTTTCGTCGTCCATTTGCAGCAGTGCGGTCCAGATTTCTGCTTTAGTTATTCTGCGTTCTATCTTTTCCTTCTGTTCGGGTGATAGGTGGTTCTCCATAGGGTCCAGAAACCTGTCCACGTCTGCAAGGTGTCGGGGGTCCTGTGGCTGAGGGATGTGAGATGAGAAAAGGTCTTGGAAGAACGTCCTGGCTATCTTTACGCTGTGTGCRGTTGTAGTGGCCAGTTYCCCAGTGRTGGGRTCAAGAAGGGCTTCTATCGTTGTCCGATGGGCTTGGATTGATGCAAGACTGAAAAATTGTGAGTCCATAGTTCCCTCCGTGGTCCATTTTGCGAGTTTCCCTCTGATTCTAACGCCCTGCCATCTATATTGGGCATATTGTAATAGTTGGTCTTTTAACTGTTGGATAGTGTTTGTGTGTTCCTCTGAATTGTCCTAGGAGACCAGGTCGTGGAGTTGGTTGCGGGTCTCCATTTCTCGGGAGTATCGTTGATTTGCGACCAATTTTGAATAGTCTTTGCATTTCTTGGCCAAGAAGAATAATCTGCTTGTAAACCATTGGATTTGTGATGCAAAGTGGTGTCTTTGGTTGTGCCAATAAGCCCACACGTCTCTTGTGAAGTTCCGAAAACCTTCGACTTTCAACAGTGATGTGTTCAATTTGTAATAGCCCGGCCCTTGATCGGGCCGTTTACGGAAAGTAARAATGATTCCACATGTGCARTGGTCAAGGYCTRGGTACGGGCTTTGCGGGAATATGGCCGAGAGTTGCAGGGCGTCCCGTATGGCTGTCGAAATTAGGACCAGATCGATCCGAGATTTCGTGTGTCTGCCGGGGTCGCTGGTGCGGAGGCAGGTGTAAGATCTCTCCTACGGGTGAAGGTGACGATATGCGTCGAGCAGAGAAAGAGTCGTGTTGAACTGCGAGATGGTTCTTTCGTCCTCCTCCACATATTGTCTCTCCGTCTTTTCTGTTTTGTATTTTTTATAATTCCAAAAAATTCATTGTTTCCGTAAAAAAAATATGGGGTTGTAGGGTTTGAAAAAGGTTTTTTGATATGGATGGAACAAAACACAAGCAGAAGAGTACACGAAAACACGTATAAAGTACACGTAACCTGTACAATCCAAAAAACTTATGTCCATTCTCGTACAGTGTACGAAAATACACAGGTACGAATGATTGCATGTCGGTTGGGATATGGCTCCCCGACCGGTTTCGACCGCAGCCACGCGGTCATCCTCAGGGGGGTTCCACCTTCCACTCCCTAATCTGCACCAACTTCCACCATCCCACCTCCGTCGTTGACCTGTTGAGCATCTCCGGAGATACTCAAAGGTCGAAAACGTAGGACCCGAAAAGATCGAAAGACACGCAATCAAGTCTAATGTAGGTATCCGACTACGCTCATGTTGACGAACCATTCAAACTATGGTCTCCCGAGACCAAACGTCCCAAGTACCACTTGGCTATCTACAAGCAGAAAGGCCAGGAACAGAAAGCAAAAAAAACAAAAAAAACAAAAAAACAAACAAAAAACGAAAGGACGAATTTTTTTTGAAAAACGTGTCCTGGTTCTAACTCCGACCGCGCGAATTGTTATCCGGTACCTGGCCGGTGGTCACAATGCATCGGGGTTGTCGAAAACCGCTTCACCAAGGTGTAGAGTACGAACCCTCAAACCGGCGAAGAGAGAAAAATCAAAACATCAAGTGGAGCCCTTAAGGCCCTTCAACAAGGAAACGGAAAAAATATACTCCCTATCTACACATACAACCTAAACTAAGCGGTTTAGAAATCGAATTGTACATCTGAGAAACCACTCTATTACTACACTTAACATTCCTATCCAAACCACACATCAATTTTGCTTACCTTCCTTGGCTAAACATTCCCTATCCATGCATCTTCAGTGTTTACCAACTTCTCAAACCGGTGGGGCGTCCCAAAGTTAATGCTATTAACTGAGATTACTCTGGGTACAACCAGCGCACCACCAGGTCCCATGTCCGATCTCTACCTCTAGCAAAGCGCTTGACCACTCGCTCCACAAATCGTGGAGGAAAGTGCTTCATTCGGAGCTCGCGGGTAAAGCTCAGCACTTGCATTGGAATGTGCGCACGTATATTTGTGTTCTGGTCAATTCTGTGCAGGTGGCACGTAATCACCGCGCTCTTCTGCTGCTTTGCTCCCCAGGATCTGAATGACTGCCCGTTCTTAAATTCCAGAATCTCATCCCCCCAAATTGTTCGCTCATTCTTAGCCAGCTGGTAGCATCCCAAGTAAGGCTGAATCATGCTGACAGTCATTCTTGTGCCCAAAAAATCCCAAGAGCCTGATCCGTCATCTGTGCGCTTCAGCTGCAGGTTTGACGGGTAGCACTCTTCGAATTTCGAGCGAATCTGATTTGCGGTGAGGTAGTTGTTCCTTCGTTGTAGTATTATCAGGATGACGTCATCCATCAAGCGAATGCCAAACACGTCCCGCTTGGCGTTTCCCAGTTCCTGACGAAATCTGAACTCTGCGTAAGCACACATAATACATGCTAACGGCGGGCTCGTGCTCTTCCCCATGGGGATCCCCACTATCTGTCTCAGCAGCACCCCCGTCGCCCGTGTATATGTGTGCTTCAATTCCAAACTAACGAAGACACCTACTTGTGCCAGATCAATGGTTGCCCAGTGATCATCTCCCATGGTTCTTCCGAATGTACAACCTTTCCCCCTAGTATTAACCCTCACCAACTTGCGTCCTTTCCCTGTATGGTAATCTACGAGCCAGCATACTGCTTCAATGATCTCCTCATGAGGCAACTTACTAAACATGTCCTTTATGTCATAAGACATTGCGGACAGTTTCGAGCATAACCCCATTCTTCTCTCGATCTTGTTGTTGATCTTATCCAGTTCCGGGACAAGATAGGATACCGAATTTAGGTTGAAGTGCCAATCGGTCGGTAGAGTGCTTAACAGGTGATTGAGAACTTTAGACATCAATCTGCATGCTCTGCTCGCGGGTTCAGAATATGTAGGACAGATCGGGCGAAATCTGTTGAGGTCCTTGTGTTTAGGCAACACATAGGCTTCCCCGATTTTTCCTTTTTTGTCCCACCGAATCAGACCACCCAGTCCCGCCTCTATCGCCTCTGCCCTCAGTCTTTCCAAGCATATCTCTTCCTGCTCCCATGTCACCACATAGCCAAGGCTGGTTACAAACAGTTCCAGCATAGCCTCGTAGTAGACCTTGGGGCAGAGGATCAGGGTCTCCCCTGGGTTTCTGTCCAGGGGTGTACAGACCAAACCCTTCAGCCTCGCCTTCAGGTTATTCACCTCCGATGTTTCCAGAAACTTGGTCTTCGTGTCCTGCTCACCCGTCATACAGGCCTCCACCTCTTGCTTGCTTACCATCGCGCCTGGTCCCCGAAAGTTAACCCAACTTTCCAAGCCGCTGGTGATTTCCCTCGCCAGTAGGCTACCCCTGTCTCGGTAAGTCAACTTAGGTACGTTATTCGCATTCAATAGGAGCAGGTGCACAGCTCGGGCGAATGCCTGCTGATTATGTAGCAGGTCCGCAACTGACGGATTCTTGGTCCAGACAATGCGGACTCCACTGCGTGCTGTGATTTTGATACAGGGTGGGATATCCATCCCCTCGATCTTATCATTCAGTGGTTTCCTCACTTCGACAAGGTGAATCCTATCGTCGAACTTCAACTTCACTGTGATCCGTGAACTCACGTTCCATCCATAGCCATCCCGAATTCTTTTGCTGATCAATCTTCTCAGGTATGCTGTTGTCGCCGTCTTCTGAAAATCCTGTGCTGCACTCATCAGCCTGACCAAGGTCTCCAAGCTGCATGATCCCAGTGCTTCCACCCTCCTTGGATTGCGTAGGATAGAAACTAAGAAGTTCTTATTTGAACTAATCCGTGGTTTCCACCTACGCAAGTGCAAGATCTCAACATTCGCTCCTACCTCCATCTCCTGCTTACACTGGTATAGTTTACAACGCCTCCCCTTGATTCTAACCGCTGAGCTTCCGAAACTGGATTGGATGGACTTCCACCCACCACACCAACAGTTGCCATCGCTGGTATACAACGTAAAGCACTTGTTACCCGCCTTTTCCTGCCCAACTAGGATTTGAAAGATATTCGCGCTTCCCACGTCAGTTTCTACAGTCCGTCCCTTAATTGGTAGAATGGCAACTGGCTGCTGGTGAATAAGTCACTGAGAAGGCGCCTTCTCCCTCTCCCTTCTCCCTTTTCGGCATCGTCTCGATCCCTTATTCGTCACTGGTTTCCCCGTCGTGTTAAGTAGGGGGCTCCATCTTCCTATGTATGTTCCCTCCAAGAGTGTCAGATCCTCCCGTTGACATCTATCAATCGGGATCAAAACGTACGTTTCCGGTCCGAAAGATCTCCACCATCGATACAGGAGGTTAGATTTCTGGTTGCGCTTACATGTTGAAAGGTGCTCCTTCCAGCGTACTCTCCCCTTCCTAGCAGTCTGCCCTACATACTGCGCACGACATACAGGTGAGGTGATAACATACGCACAGCTTTCCGCTTGAGAGAAAAACTTCACCCCAAAACGTACGTAAAGGTTAATCCAAGCAGTAATACATTTCTCTAGCCAAGGAATCTCTCTGTATAGTGCCAGCGTAACGATAACCAGTGTAAACAATGACTCAACAGTCACATCCGTTATATCCTCACGCCTGAATTCGATCAAACAGCCACTTAAAACCCACAGTTTACTCAGTGTTCAAACTTTACTTCTAGCATCACCCTCGTCTTCGTCTACCTGCTCCTGCTGCTCACCTTCCTCATGCGCCGCCTCGCCATGAGCTTCTTCCTCCCCGTAGGCCACTTGCGTCCTCCTCTCAGTAATTGCCAAAATAGTTTGCATCTTTTTTCCCTTGCATTTCACGTCCTCGGAAGCTGCGATGCGTCGTAACTCTTCCAAATTCAAATCACCCAGCTGCCTGAGGTTGTCCGTGACAAACCTCAACTTCCCGATCGTGCCTGGGGCTGCCGGGATCTTCTTGCGTCCTGTTACTTGAATCGTCCGCGGAGGTGTTTTCTTCATTTGCTGGTGTCGACAACCTAAATGCAGGCGCCTCTTCGCTGTACGCTTCGCCGGTGTCACCATGGGCGGACTGTCACCTATTGGCTTATCCGCACTCCGCTTCCGTTTCTCTAAGATGACAAGTTGCTCCGTTTGCATGCTCAGAGCATCGACGTCACTATCGTATGACTCATATCCTTCATCCTCCGAAGACTGCACTACCGCTCGTTGCTTCCCTTTCTCGCGATGCTTGACCTCCCTCTCATACCGCTTTTGGAGGGAGTCCCCGAGCTGTCCCATTTGTTGCGAGATTTCCAACAACATTTCCTTCCTCAGAGTTTGGCGTTTCTCCTCCTCCAAACGTAACTTCTCCTCTTTCCGTTTCGTACATCGTAGTTCAGCTTGACGCGCTTCCTGAGCTGCTTGCTTCTCCTCTTCCTCGCGCATCTTGCGCTCTAGTTTTTCGAGTTTCTTCGTCTTCCGCTCCTCCTTATCCGCGTGCTGGCTGTCTAGTACCTCCTTCATCGTCGCTAACGACGCCGCCAGTTCGTCGATCTGCCGCTTTACCGCCGGGTCTTCAAGTGTCGCTCGAGGTACTTGGACTCTTGAATGTTGTCTTGGAGATAGTGACCTTCCTCGCTGGCCCACGTGTCTAAAGCTGCTTTCGCCACCCAAAGTCGGACAATGGTTCGTGTAATGACCAGACTCCCCACACTCGTAACAAACGGGAACAAATCGGCGCGGAGTCTCCCTGTATCTGTCCGAGTGATTGGAGCTACCTCTCTCTGTGCTTCGCTGCTGTCTCCCCTCAATCGGACGATCCCGACTCCCTTCATGTCTCCTAAACTCACGGCCTCTATCGCCACCTCGTTCGTGATACTCCTCACGTCCAAAACCTCGGTAATTCGAACCCATACTGGTCCACAACCTTGGTTAGGTCCACGCAACTATCCCGATGATACTACGTGATTACAAGTGTATGCTATTGGTGTAGGTTCCGATACGTCTTCACCCTCGCCTGTCTTCTCATTCTAACAGTACTAATGTCACCATACCGTGCTCACACTCACTCGGCGTTTTCCAAGCGGGTTCACACGTGCCTTCAGAGGTTTACTGATATGGATGGAACAGAACACAAGCAGAAGAGTACACGAAAACACGTACAAAGTACACATAACCTGTACAATCCGAAAAACTTATGTCCATTCCCGTACAGTGTACGAAAATACACAGGTACGAATGATTGCATGTCGGTTGGGATATGGTTCCCCGACCGGTTTCGACCGCAGCCACGCGGTCATCCTCAAGGGGGTTCCACCTTCCACTCCCTAGTCTGCACCAACTTCCACCATCCCACCTCAGTCGTTGACCTGTTGAGCATCTCCGGAGATACTGAAAGGTAAAAAACGTAGGACCCGAAAAGAGCGAAAGACACACAATCAAGTCTAATGTAGGTATCCGACTACGCTCATGAGGCCTTGAAAAACCCTACAACCCCATATATTTGTATCAGGTAAGGGGTTGACACCAAGCGTTTGCCAGAGTCAGACATACAGGGGAAATCGATCATTGTTTCCTCGTTTCAGTTGTTTTTAACTGGGTCAACATACGAACCTGTGAGTTGAAGGTCAAACCACTTAACTATTTTGAATAGCTTCCAAACCAGGGTTCTCCTGTCGCTTTAGTCATTGCGGTTTGCTTAAAGGATAAACTGATACAGAGTTGGACGATTGATTTTTCAGTTGTGCTGTAACATGACGAGTGTACCTACGGGATACACGTCAGCTGACCCTTGGCACAAACTTCGTCGTACAGGTGCCTTGAGAGCTAGGCGTGAATGTAATACTACTAGCTCTGTAAGTAGACCCAAGAGTGCCTCCCTCATCCAGTGGTCCATGCCTACAGTTCCTTGCTTTGAGCTACCCCAGGCAATGTCTAACGACCATTTGTCGAAGGACTAACCTATGAGACCCCTACTCTAGACACTTCCTCCTACCTAGCACAATTATGCTCTGCATGCGTATGTATTAGGGCATACTCACACTGGCACGTCCTTCTGCAAATTTTACGTATGTGAATTTGCGTTTATATGGCACCTGCGGGTCACACTGCTCACCCGTTTGTTGCCCGAGTCAGAAAGGATAGGGTCGCGACTTGGCCTTGAGATGAGAAAATGCGTTGTGTGCAGTTAGGCAACACAATGCACTTTAAGTTTTTTTTTTTTGCTTCCAGAAAGCAGTAGCGGAAAAAAAAATACAATTTTGCGGGGACCTCTGGAGGTACCCGCAAAATATGTAAATCCGCGGCAGTCCAGGCTGCTGACATTTACGTGCCCTTTTGTGTGAACACGCAAAATACGTGCCTGGTGTGACCCGGAAAACCACATAAAATTTGCGATTTTGCGAAAATACATGGTAGTGTGAGTATGCCCTTAGTCGGTGTAGGTCTGCATGATTATGTACAGCCTGTGCAGTTCTGTAGTCTGCTATGTATGTGATTGATTTGTATCTCCTGTAGCTGGGGTCAACCCCTGTAGTTGTATACCATTCATTTCACAGTTGCATCCTACTTAGCACCGTATTCGCGTTCGGAGGCGAACACAAACATGTTCGCCCAAACACGAACAAGCGCCCAAAACCCTCCGAACGCGAACATTAAAAAAAAAAAAAGTTCTTAAAAGAATCTGAAAAGCATATATGCTATGTAAAATAGCAATACGAGCAGCTTTTGCCTTGGAATCATGTTCAAATGCGTAGCCAATCACGAGTTAAAAATCAAAAACCGAATTTTAATTTATTCATTAAATTATTTTACGAAAAAAAAATTATGTTCGCCAGAATGAACGTGCGAACACGTTCGCGCGAACGTGAAGGGGCGCGAACAGGTTCGATATGCCTTCTTTTTTGAAGCCCTAGCTTTGTGATATGTGACCCCTTTTTTAGCAGGTGACGCTCCGCACCAATAGATGGAGCCTCCCCCCGGGTGCTAGCGGTGTCTGCTCTTATCAGCATCTGTTGTAAGTCTGCACATGCCTACTGTAAATCTGCATATGCCTGTCGTAAGTCTGCATACCAGGGGATCACACGTTCTAGTTGCTTCCCAACCCAGTACAACCACCCTACCACCTGTGCGGCAAGGTTCCACATCAGCAACGCTAGTCTTTGGTCCTCAGTTGGGCCCCCTATCGAGTCTCAGTCCTCAAGGCTCAGTTCACCGACTCCACCCTCCACCTCCATCATCGAGAAGAGTCCAACTGCTATCTGGTGCAGACCCTGCAAACCCCACCCACCTCTCGATTCACGTTGGACCACACCCCTGTTCTGAACTCCCTCCCTCCAAAGACATCACTGCTCTCCTGATGATACGTTCACAGAGTGATGCTCCCAACCGCAGCTGTCCCCAACTACTGCCTTACCCTGTAGCACTACCCTGTCATCCACGCGGCAGGGCCCGACCCACCCAGGATACATGGGGAGACGCTGTAAGCCCCACCCGCATAGTCCCCTACTCTGCCCTACTCCCTCCAAGGAGATCACCGCCCTCCATGATGATGCCTTTGCCGAGTGTTGCTCCCTCCCCTACACTATCCTGTGAGACGCCCTGCTCTGTCCAGGTAACCCCCTGTGATAGCGCCTTCCCGTAACGATCCTTCAAATATCCCGTGAAATAGGGCGTGACTTATAGTGGCTCATCTGTGCTGTGCTAGGCCAGGGGCCAAGTGCGCGGGGTGTCAGTGTAACACCAACTAAACATTCGCCAGAGAGGCTGAGGGCCAACAGAGTAGAACCCACAACCTCTCCTCTGCATGCCAGAGCTCTAACCAACTGAGCTACCACGACTTGCCCAAGGGCGGCTTTCTGCTAATCAGATTGCAGGGGCACAAGCACTTATATGCCACCATGTCAAGTTCATTTATATCAAACTAGAAAAAAAAAGACGTTATTCCTCGCCATCGATGTCACGCAGGGGAATGGTGATCTCCACTCGAGCGTATCAGACTCTGCAGTATATTCCTGTCTTGTCTGGGATAGCCTGGCACTTGTTCTACCAATCAGTGAAAAAAAGAAAAAGAAATAAGTTCAAATAACTACACGGGAGTGCATCTTTAGTTTTGAATTTGCAGGAATAACAGGGCAGCGCAGCTCCGGACAGAGGGCAGTTAGGAACTGCAAAAAACGAACAGCTTTGTGCACTTCTACCCGGCGGAAGTTTGAAAGTGGCAAAATCAGGCTCGTTGTTGCTTTTTTTTTTTTTT